TATTCTACATCTTCTGTTAAGGATAGATGCACTACCACTGGAAACTGTTCCAATTTAATTCCAGTAAAAAAGGTGTCCACCAGGGTTGTATCTTAGCTTCACATCTTTTTAATTGTTGTTTACATAATCTACTTCTCAAGCTGAAATACAGCATTTCAAATTCTAATCTACTGTTGATACCAGGCTCTATTCATATTTCTCTTATCAGGCTCTGCTGGCAGTGGTTCCACTCCTATCTGGCCAGTCGATTCCAGAAGGTAGTGCTTGGGGGACTATAGCTCTGCACCATGGCAATTATGCCATGGAGCACTGCAGAGTTCTGTTTTGTCCCCCATGCTTTTTAACATCTACATGAAACCGCTGGGAGAGGTCATCAGGAGTTTTGCGCTGTGGAGTCATCAGTATGCTGATGACACCCAATCTACCTCTCATTTATATCTAACCCAAGTGAGGCAGTGGCTGTCCTGAACCGGTCGGCCTGGCCGAGGTAATTGGCTGGATGACGGCCAGTAAACTGAGACTCAATCCAGATAAGATGGAGGTCCTTTTGGTGGGTGGTTCGGGTTCTCAGGTAAGTGATTTTGGTCCTGTCCTGTCCTGCACGGGGTTGCACTCCTTCTAAAGGACAGGGTTCGCAGGTTGGGAGTGCTCTTCGACCCAGAGCTGTCCGTGGAGGCCCAGGTGGCGGTGAGGAGTGCTTTTCTTCAGCTTCAGCTGATCCAACAACTGCGTCCTTACCTGGACAAGCACTGCCTAGTAACAGTGACACATGCTCTGGTAACTTCTCAGTTGGATTACTGTAATGTGCTCTACGTGGGGCTGCCTTTGAAAATGGTCCGGATACTTCAATTGGTACAAAATTGAGCTGCCAGGTTGCTGATGGGGGCCATTTGTTATTCTCATATAACACCAGTCCTCTATCAGATTCGCTGGCTTCCAATTGAAATCCAGGCCCAATTCAAAGTGCTAGTATTAACCTATAAAGCCCTAAACAGCTTGCGACCAGAATGATTGAAGAACCACCTCCTTCCCTATATGCCCTCATGCCACTTAAGATCAGCAGGGGAGGCCTTGCTCTGAGAATCCTCTTTGAAGGAGGTATGGAGGATGTCTACCTGGAGGAGGGCCTTCTCTGCAGTGGCGCCCAGACTATGGAATGTGATCCCCAGAGAGGTCCGCCTGGTGCAGACTTTATACTCTTTCTGCGCCAGGTAAAGACCTTTTTATTCAATCATTTTAATAATTAAGGTTTTTAGATGTTTTAAAATCTTTTTTCCACAGTTGCATTTTCTACTCTTTTTCTCTTTTCTTTGTTTTATGAAGTGTTGTTTTATATTGATTTTATATTTACTGTTTTATCATTGCATTATTGTAATATTTTAAATCGTTGTAAGCCACCCTGAACCATTCATTGGAAAGGATGGGATATAAATGTTTGATTAAATTAAAGTAAACTTAACTATGGCTTGGGCAGCTGCAGTAAAATTTAAGCTTGTCTTGCTAGATCATGAATCCTTAGCAGAACTTTTAAAATGGATTCAATTTGGTTCCTTTAAAACATCTTGGGATAAGTTAAAGGAGGATAACTTGCTGAGTCTAGGGTTTAATCTTTCCTTCCTAATGTTAGAAAGAATGCTTTGGAATTGTTGAAGAGATTAGATCAAGAAGTTATTAGAAGATGCTTTTCCCTTTGTGGGGGGAGCAGGGGCTGGCTCTCAGCCACTCTTTTTTCTGTTCTGTCAAGTTATTTTACTTTATTTTTAACTGCCCCATGTTTTCATCAACTCTTCTCTTGGCTAGAGTAAACACTTTACCACTCACTGAATGGTCAGACCACTGCCAAGATCTCAGTCACCACCAGTAAGTCTGCCCTTGTAGTAGAGGTGTGATTGAAACATCACATTTTCTATTAAGTTATCATTTACATTCATGTGTAAGAGTAAGCTTTATGTTGCCTTTACTGAGTAGAATTCCTTGTTCACATGATTTCCAACTGCCATCTCTGGCAGTTGATAAATATGTCACTGTTTCTGTGGTAAAGTGTATATTCTGCACCTTAAAATTAGGTATATGTTAAAAATATTTCTTGGGCTAAGCATTAGTGGGATTGTTGATATACATATACATACATACATATATATTTAACTCTAAATTATTAATATATATTATTTTTTTTACCAAGCTGCCTTGGGGGATATACAGGTGCTCTGATTTAGAAACAGGAACAGTGTCTTTAATTGAGAATACTAAGAGCACCTGAAGAGATTGAAAGGATACATTGTCATTTTATTATTCATTCTGTTCTGATATCATTTAATTCAGTACACTGTCATTTTCCCAAAGTTACTATCATTCCATGGAGCTATTGTTTTCATTTAGCTGTTACTTCTGTTTCAGGTTTTGTCATTCTTCTACTCTAGAGTGCTTGCAGATGAAAAAATATTGAAAATATATCCCCATGGCTCATTTATTCAATTTTTATGGGAAGTATGTATGACATCATCTGTTTGGAATTCTTCTGTGTTTCCAAATTACTGGTTTGATCTTTTTTTTTTTTTTTTACTGAAGAACGCCTAACAGTTTTAAGAAGGGAAGAAATATAATACAATCTCCACAGCTGTAAATGCCCTTAGTGTTATTCTTACATCTTTTCTAATAGGTTTGATTTTGACATGAGCAATTACATTAGTATGCAGTAGGATCATATACTTTATTACATTATTCATATTTCATTATTTGTGTTTATCTCTTTTTTAAAATGTATCTTTTAAGTAATGTTAAAGTATATGTGAATATTAAAAAAAATGTAATACAATCATGCTACTGTCATGTCCCATGTGAAGGAGGATCCATCTGATGAAGAAGAAAAGTGGGAAAGCCAGTACTGTGGACCCTAACCAGAGCTAGTCTCTAGAAGAGTGATCTGGGCCCTTCTTGGACTTCTCCAAGTCTAGGAATCCCTAAGTCTTGGAAGGGCATTCCAAATGGAAGCAGCAGAATTCAAACAGGAGAAAATATGTGGGGCCTCTCTTATAAGCAACATGCTGACCTGATTAACCAGCTGTGCTGATTTATGACCAGCTATAAATTAGCCCAGTTGGAGCTAGCTGACTGCTGCAAATAAAAGCATTTCAAGTCTGTGCTTTGCCTCGCTGAACTGGACCTAATAGATTTCTAGACCTTTGGCTACCTGCTATCTTGGACAGCTGTGCCTGATCTGGATGTTTGTTATGATGGACTCTGTGGATTGATTTCAAGACGGGTCTAGTTTTTCACATTGTCATTCTTGAAAAAAACTCTTAGTCTTTACCAGGGCATTTGCTTGGCAAATGAGCAGGATATTTGACACAATATGTGATCTGCAGTGCAACATGGATATTGAAAAATGAAGGGAAGAAATTCATTTCCAGTCATTGTCATCTTAGCAAGGAGTTTAATGAAGGTGAACAGAAAAGCCTTTGTTACGCTTCTACTCCATATGCCCTCTGTAGGAGGCAGAACTTACTGATGTTTGAACACGACTTATATGTTTCCTTTTCATTGTGATTTGTATGTATGTTTATAATGTACTGTGACATTTTGCAAGATAAATTTTACCCTAACTTTTTAATCTTAAATTTCACTTTCAGATGCTTTGCAATGCAAATCTGTAGAGTGATTGTCTTTTTTTAATAAAGGCCATGGAGGCAAATATTAGTTGTTCTCTATCACTTGCTGTGTTCACTGAGTATCTGCTTTTAGGAATGGAGAAAATATATACATCTACCTACCTATTGTATTGTTCAAGGAATAGTGTTGCTTATCATGTGATTGAAACCTCTCTACACATAGTGTTGCATAAATATAATACAGTCATATATGGATAAGCTTGAGTTGAGATAGTTTTTTTTAATACATTGGAAAGGGTCAGAAAATAGTTAGGTTTGCAGTATATGTATGCTAAATCCAGCATGGTGTGATCAGATTCCTGCTCACACAATGGGACTTGCTCTTGCTCTCCTTGTAACTGTACTTCCCACCCACCCTGGTATGGCTTAAATCTACTTGCAGGGCTGGGAAACATTCTGGAACAGATTAACGGGAAGAGAAGATCCATTCTGCTCATAGCTTCCATTCTGCATGCAGATGGCCAGCACCAGCTTCTACCCATATCCTCTGTGGAATTCCTTTCAAAAGATAATTTTTGGAAGAGAACCATTTTGTAAAATGGTGTGATGTTAAAGTTGATTCACTGAGGTTTAAATGCAAAAACTAGTATTCACAGATTATGTGCTAATCTACATACAAATTACATAATTGTATTAAAATTATTGAACTACTAAAATTATTGAAATGAAAGTTACTATAGTTGCAAATAGTGCACTTCAGTAAAACGTTACTAGCGTTGTTGTAACAGCTACTTACTGGGAGGCATCAGAAAGATTTTCAACTTTTTCTGATTCATATAATGGATACTTTAAACTGAGTTACAAATAACATGGTGGTGTGAAGGGCAGAGTTTATGGAACAGATGTTTCAGTAATGCAATCTAGGCAGAGTTTGCCAGTGTATAATGAATATATAAAGAGAAAACATGTTTTGCAAAGGACCTGAGCCGTTTCCAACCTTTAGAACATCCCTGAATCTGCACAAGATAGGTATATTCCAGTTGGGCTAGAAACAGTAAATGATTTTAAACACCCACAACCCATGGGGGTGTATTAACAAAGCTGATGTGTAGGCGCTGCACATTAATCTGTCCATCTTCAGTCACTGTTCTATTCCTGTATTTAGATACCCTTATCCTAACATATGTCTTAAAATTTCCAGTTTTTCTTTTGTTCTCAGTATTTTTATTTCTCAATTAATGTTGTAAGAGCAGGTAGAATCACGTGAGGAAGTTATTTTAAACATGCTGGCAGAATACTAAAGGTTGAAAACAAACTGTTAAGTATAAATGAATAAAATATATTTCTGTAAAACATAATACTTTATTTAAAGACATATTGTTTAACTCTTAGGTTTCCTATGCCCGTCCAAGTTCGGCATCAATCAGAGATGCTAACCTGTATGTCAGCGGCCTTCCAAAAACGATGACCCAGAAAGAGCTGGAGCAGCTTTTCTCGCAATATGGGCGCATCATCACCTCACGAATTCTGGTTGATCAAGTCACAGGTTGAAAGATTTTCTTGTTTTTATGTTTCTAAACCTGACTTTGTTTCTTAGATACTTTCATGTGTTTGTTTTTGAACTGAGTTAGTACACTAATGCTGAACCAACTTAAAATTAAGTGTTCTCTAGGTTTAGAGATATTCCTGATCATTACTGATGTTATTACTGATAGAGAAGGACAGCCACATGATCTATGGATATCAAATTATGTAATTGCCAAGAAGACCTTGTAAATGTGTCCCCTTCTCACAAGTTGGTGTGAAGCTTTGCTTTATGGATTTTCAGATGTCACCATGTGGGAATTTTAGAAAAAGAAATGGGAATATCTGCACTTTATTACACAAATGAAAGTCACAACCCATTACTATATTGTGGGCTGTATCCATCACTGCCCAGTGCTCACACATTACTAACACTCACCACTTCTGCAATGGGAAGCTATTAAGTCCTTCAGCAATAAAAATGAGTAAAATTATTGTTTCAAGAACAGGGCAGGTCAGTAGAGTTTGCAGAAGTAAACTTTGCTGTCATGTCCAGAAATTCATGTTTCAGTTTGTTTCTGGATTTCTGTTGGAAAAGCTTGTTTCTGTTGCACAGGTAGTAGATTTAATCAAGGGCCAATGTCGTATTTCCCTTTGTATTGTGCATGCTATTGAAGTTTTATCGTCCTTAATTAAACCCTATATTCTTTCTCCAGGTGTTTCTCGTGGTGTGGGATTTATTCGTTTTGATAAGAGAATAGAGGCAGAAGAAGCCATAAAGGGACTTAATGGCCAGAAACCTAGTGGTGCTACAGAACCGATTACTGTGAAGTTTGCTAATAACCCCAGTCAGAAAACAAGCCAAGCCCTTCTTTCTCAGCTGTACCAATCTCCAAATAGACGCTATCCTGGACCTCTCCACCACCAGGCTCAGAGATTCAGGTAACTGCCACAGAGTATTTATAGTGATCTTTAGTATTCTATTCTGTCACAGTTTGAATCACAGATTACATAAGCATCTGAACAAGGGAAGCTTGGAAATACCAACTCTCAGCTGCCTCTAGGTCATTATCAGATCAGTGTTTCAACTAGAATTTTTTAGGCAAAGGGATAACTTGATGGGATAACTTTCAGTAACTTTTCACTGCACCTAAAAATATAAAATGACTACCCTGTCTTTACTTTTTATGGAGTACATGACTTGCATTGGTTTCTCCGGATTAGTGTGACTGGAAAGATTAGCGAATTTGTGTGGGGCTATTGACCATCAAATGCCTGTTTAAAATACTTCAAAAAGTAGGTTTTAGAGCAATACTTTTGTGCATTTTATATATAAATGCATGTTTAACAAAGTTTGGGTATTTGTATTTAGAGTATAATATTTTGACGTTGCAAAACCCCTAATGGAAGATTAAAAGCATTGGATAGTGACTGAATGTTGTAACCGGTAGAGAAGACCTTATTTGTGGTATGTGATGGCCCATCAAACTAAATCTTCTTGGCTTTCTTTAATGATTTGATCTACAAAATGTTGGGATAATTGGTTCTTACAAGCTTTTAGAGATCAAAAGTAAATTCCTCTCATCAAAAGAAATTCACACTGTGGAAAAACCTGGAATCGTAGGTATTATTTATGCTAAAGTTTTTACTGTGTAATTCTATTCATGTTTAATAGCAATGAAAGGTAAATAGTTGAAAGTATGGTAATTATTACAATTTCACACTGATACAGCATGCAGAAATGAAATTATAGGGAATTTTTTCTGTGCCAAATCACATTTTGAGATGATGGAATGTTACCTTTCTTCATTACCAGCACAACTAATAATGTCATTCATTTATTGTGGAAGCAGAAGTAGCTTTATGGCTGCTGATTGATTAGACCACTAGATATATAAGAGATGATGTTGAGAATTTCTTCTTTGAAAATGGAGCATTATTAATAAAAGTTCCATTGAGCAATCTTGCCATCTGTGAGACATTAACCCAGAGACCCTCCTTCTCTTTTCAGGCTGGACAATTTGCTTAATATGGCCTATGGCGTAAAGAGGTAATTAGAATTCCACAGATTGCCAGATGTCCATGTTGGCACAGATTGGTGCTCTAATTTTTTTTTAATTCACTAACTTTATTTTTTTAATTCCTTCCTTTTTTCCCACCAGCATGCCAAATGTTTTCTGTCTTTTCGTTTGGACTTCATTTGGTTTTCGTTAACACCATGCACAAACACAAGCATATACAACAATAGTGCGTGGATTTTTGTTTGTTTAATTTTTCTTTTGTTACAGGTCTTCTATGATGATTTAGGTGCAACAGCTACAAGAGTTCTAACCTGAAGTATTCTATTTAATGGCTTTTAAGTTTTACCTCATTGGAGTTTATTAACAAAAGAGGGCTGATAATGGAAAATTGTCCATTGTTGGTAAAAAATTGTCACATTAATGGCTTTAAAAAATTGGGAAACCCACATCTGCCTTTTGGCTTACCTTTCCTGAAGGACTGTAACTTTATGCACCTCAATCAGACATAGATTCTCTTTGTTACAGGTTTAACAAGTGTTCCCAGTAATATGGAGCTTGTGATTGGTTTGCATTGATTTGAAGGTCTGCTTGTTCTGACTTTGCTTTCATATTTAGATCACTGGAAATTTGAAAACACTGCTACAATGGCATGAAAATGTTACATTCAATATTACATTCTTCATTAACAATCCGCATATCTTTGCACAAACATTAAAGAAAATATAGTAATTGAGGGCTATTTCATACATTTGTAATTCAAAAATGCTGTATGCTTGGTGGTAATAGCCACAACCCAATTCACAGCTAGCTTCACATATGTCCTATTCCTATTCATCTTGAAATAAGGGTTTAAGTACTGGGGAAATCTGGAGTACTGCACACAAACAGTCTGTATTTTGCCCCATGTATCCCATACACTAGTACACATACAGTATTCCTGGATTGTAGTACTGTGAATTAGTACTTCATCTGAAATGATACAATGTAAGGCAGCCCTGCTTCCTCCCTAGCCATGAGCAATGTAATCATTTTAATTGAGAAATGGGTAAATGTTGTGGATTATGTGGAAAATTTGGGGTACAATAGTGAGGCATCTTTTTTCTTTCAAACGTTCCCCGCAATGTGTGGGATTCACGTGTTGTCACTGGAATTATCATTGATTCACATGTTCAGGAGGGAGATATTCAAAATGGCCATAAACATGTCCACATGCTATAATACTAGACTGAACCATGGGAGAATGTCTTCAAGAGACCATGCCCCAGTATAGTATCATGCACTGCTCCCCTATTATTTAGGAGGCACTTCAGAAGTGACACAAAGGATACATTAAGATGACATGAAGGATGTGTCATTAAATGACACGAAAGATACATTAAGATCCTTCTCTGCATGATAATATTACTGAAAAATACAAAGTGGCCACTTCAAAGCTTACCTCCTGGTGCTTGGAATCATCTGAGTAAGCAGTTGTGTTTAAATAGTCTGAACACACTGTCAGGGTCTGTGATTATGACCTCTCTCCTTTGCTTCATTTCTGGGTGGCTATGGAGAGGCTTAAGTGCAGATTGGAGGCCACTGACTGCCATCTCCCCACTTGATTACAAATACTCATGTGGTAAGTTTTTAAGCAGCCACCACATATTCCTTGATGTTGGAATTCAGCTGGGGATTATCTCCTTGTAGGACAAAGTTATGCATGAAGCAGCCCTAAGGCTACAATCCTTTACTTTCTTAACCTGGTAATAAGCCCCACTGAATTCTTTGGGACTTGCCTTCAGTAGGCCTGTATACAAATGTGCTGTAGTCATCTTAAATGATAACTGTTTGAGACATTTGAAAACTTATTGATGGTGTGGTAAGTAATAAGTCTAGTATATGGTAGGAAATGGAAGTGTTCACTGCTTTTTGTAGAGCCAAAGAGAAGTAGTGTTTCTTCTGTAAACCCATTCCCACTTTATGTATATGCTTTTAAAAGAAAATATTCGGTCTGGTGCATATTAACATTTCACAGCATATGTTTGACTGGGTTTCAGTGGAACTTGTCAGACGCTTTTTGAGGCTGTTAGTCATTTCAAATAAATGTACTAGATAAATTTATTCACACACACTCACTTTCCAACATGCCTTTTCCCACAGTTAGGAGAGTATTCAGCAGTATTTTCAATATAGGATGTTTCCCCCCGTTTGTTAACGGAGAATAAATAGTGTGATGACTCTTATTGAAGCAACTAGGTGTTAGCATATGTAAGCTTTCATCAAGTAGCAAAGCTGTTGGCTGAAGCCTAGTCAGCTGCAAGCATATACTAGATTACAGCATAAAGAGTCCCTTTAATATAGTTTGACCATATTCTCAGAGAACCTTGAGCTACACTCAATGCTAGTTGGTTATATTGAATGAAACAGCTATTGTTTCTGAGGCATTCAATAGTTTTTATACAACTGAGTGTAAGAACTGTCTCTAGAGAATTTAACCTGCTTGGGGTTGGGTTGAAGGTGGAGTCTGGATTCTGATTTTATGTTGCTTATGCTTAAAAGGAGATCGAGATCAGCCTCTTTTTTGTTTTTCTTCATTACTCTGATAGGTTTTCTCCAATCACAATTGATGGGATGACAAGCCTTGTGGGAATGAATATTCCCGGTCACACTGGGACTGGATGGTGCATCTTTGTCTACAACTTATCACCTGACTCAGATGAAAGTGTGCTGTGGCAACTGTTTGGCCCCTTTGGAGCTGTCAACAATGTCAAGGTGATTCGCGACTTCAACACCAACAAGTGCAAGGGATTTGGCTTTGTCACCATGACCAATTATGATGAAGCTGCCATGGCAATTGCCAGCCTTAACGGATACCGCTTAGGAGACCGAGTATTGCAAGTTTCCTTTAAAACCAACAAAACCCATAAATCCTGAATTTCATATCCTTAATAATAATTATTATAAATATATATATATATATATAAAATATATATACGAAAAAAAAACTCTTCAAGGCTTATATACAACCATGGACTTTTATAAGCCAGTGTTGCCTAAGTATTAAAACATTGAATATCCTGTGACCAGGAAAGGATTTTATAATGCTTAGAAAAACAAACTTTGATGCATTGAATGTTCTTTCATAGCTGTCGTTGTTGAATATAATATACATAGATAACAATGTGCAGGGATTTTTACCCGGCCAGCTAGTTTTACTACCTTCCTTGAAGGTGGGTCTTTTTAAGATGGCCATTCACTCATTTGAAAAATAAAAATAAAAACCTAAAACCATTTTTACAAATGAATGGGATTAACAGATTTTGCTCTTTTTTTCCAAAATGTTTGATCCAATCAGATTGGTAAACCCCCCAGCGTAAATTAAAGAGGAACAATAAAAATTGCAAAACAAAAAGTATAATTTTGCAACTTTTTTTATTTTTCCTTTTTTCTTTTATATCATGTGAACTAAACAGTCTTCTGTTAGGGATAGGGTAAAAGGGGGAATACCTGATGACATAACAGTTTAAATAACATTAACAATGTTGCCAAAGAGTTGGTCTCTTTGCTGAAAATGGGTTTCAAGAAAAATCTATTTTTATAAAATATAAAGAATTTTTACAAGAGAATCTGGATTTGAGAAAAAAATATTTTGACTGGCTAATTTAGGGGAAATTGACAACTTTGTCATGTTCATACTGCACTGGTAACTTTTTAGAGATCAAGATGTGTGTTTTAAACTGGATTAAGTAGATTGTTTTTTGAAGGATGGGCTACAAACAGATGATCTTCGTATCTTTTCATAGCATGTAATAAAAATATTAACTACAGAATGGGAGAGTGTTCTTCCCAGGCACACAGTTACCCACAGTCAAAACCCAAAAGCAAGGAGATGAGTTGCAGGATGGTTTTTCTTTAAGTCATCAGTATGGGATATCAGCAGAACAAAAGTTTTGGAAAAAAATTAATTTTAATCAAAAACTTCCTTTGTTTGAGCAGTAGGTGCTACAAAATTATTTACATATCTTAGTATCATAGTTCAATGTAATGTGTTTAGAGAAAAAAGTACATTTGCTTTAAATTCTTTAAGAATTTTCAGATTCACTTTCTAGCCCATACTGATATAAATTGGGCTGTGTTGGCACATTTGAAACACTCTTTATGTTGCTTGAAACACTTATTTATTTAATTGCTGATGTGACGCATATGCCAAAATCAGATATTGCTAGTTTGGCTAGTCTACTTATTTGTTTACTTAAACTATGGGAAGAAGCATATTATTGTGTCATTTTGTTGTGTGTGTATGTGTATATATAATATAAATATATATATATATATATATATATAAAGTTATTTTTTTCTTTTGGTTAACTTATTCTAAGTTGTAACACTTTGCTAGTTTTGTTTGTATATGTCTTAAAATGTTTTCTTATGATACTAAAGTGGCAAGAGGTATCAAGGTAACCTGTGTAGAAATATTGTTTGATATATTGTCATGTTTGTTGTGAATATTTTTTTCTTACTGCACAGTAGAAAAAACAACAACTGGGTCTTTATTTTAATGTAATTCAGATTGGGGGAAACAGAGCTAAGGGAACAAAATGACTGAGGGAGTGCTCTCCCATTTCCAGTGCACTGATCCTTTTCGTATGTTTGTGCTTTGTATGGTTATATATTTAAAACAAACAAGGTCATGCTCTTCCCTGAGTACTAGAAACAGTTACTCGCTATGCATAATCTAGTTGATAGTTAAATTTGCTATTGCTTTTCTTGTCTTGTTATATAAAATCTTTTCAATACCAGTTTAGTCTTAATGGTAATAAAACGTTATGGTTCTTTATAACCTGTGCTTATTCTGTGTATTTTTTTCCATGCTTATATCCAATAACTGCATGCGAACCAAATACTCTTCTGCTTTGGTTATTCTTTTTTATTTTCCACACTGAAAAGGCAGGCAGAGTAGACCAATATTGAAAAGCAGAGGCTGCAGCCTAAATTTCATCAGTTCATGTACATTTAAAAATTATTTTGGTTTCAAACAAAAGACAATTCCTTCATTCAATGTTTGGGGGAAACCTTTCCACATTATCTGATGTGAATGACTGCAGTTTGCTGGGAAAGTTTTAATGCAACTTCTAAGCATTAGTGGGGAAGGCATGCCAGATTCATTTCTCTACAATGTGCTTGCAATCTGAATTATTTTTAAAAAAATCTTAGGTACAGGCAGTTATACATTTTAGTTCTGATGTATGACGTCATGTTTTACTTGCTAGTTTAGATCATTTCTGAGGGAAAGTATTGTAAATGTTCTTTTTCATAATTTTGCTGTGTTTGAATTACTTGTATTTAAATTGTCCAGACAATAAATGAGAGTATGTAGAATGGCTACAGACTTGCCATATTTTTAAATGTGTTCAGGTGTCTTTACAGCTACATCATATGTATCTAAATAGTTCCTAATCCTGTAGCTTCCCTTATTTGAATACTGGTACCATTTTATCCATTGTAATGCATGCATTTTGTTTTGTAACTAGGCCTGCTTGGCTATTGTGAAGCAATCTCTGATTTTTAAAAATTGTGTCAGTGCTGCTATAATTGGGCTTGATGGGCTATGTCTAGGAACGAGGGCTTTTACCCATTGGATCCTTACTTTCCAGCAATGGGAAGCTGTTTCAAACTCTGCTTGATAGAGAACTTTACTGCTGAATAGAAAGATAGGACTTGCATCTTACTCAGGGACCAGAGGCTGATCTGGTGTCATTGCCTTGAATCGGCAGGAATAATTTGACAGACAGTGAGTGCTCTTGCATCTTCCAGTGATGAGAAGCAAATAGACAATATAGCTGCTGGAAAAGATCTTTCAAAGGTGTCCCACTCTGCCCTTGTCAACCTGACAGAAGGAAAAAGCCAAGGCAGAGGTGGGAGAAAAGAAAAGCTGGTTTCACAGAGTTGAGCAGCACGTCCTTTTGTTACTTAGATAAGTGAAAGAGCTTGATCTGGAAGCATTTAAAAGTGCAAGAGAGTGATTTGCTCTGGCCTATTCTTAAGAGACTTCCTACTTCATCTGACTAATTGTCTTGTAGTTCCCTCTTTTAGCCACAGCTGGGTGGTATCAGACAGCCTGTGTCCCTTCCTGATTTGTCCAGGTTCATTGCATCCTTTGCACTCATAATGAGGAAGAGCAATCTTGACGTTGATTTTACAGCTTTACTTGAATTATACAAATGCAAGTTATAGTAAATCCAAAGTTTTAAACAGCATTAGAAAACTTGTTTACATGATCCCAGAAACACAATACTTTAAATGATCTTAGCCTCTGAATGTAATCTTTGAAGGCACAAATCCAAGGTTCGAGGCACCTTTCTTGAATCCCTGGTTAAGTGATCACACTCACAATCGTAGATAAGTTACTTCTACTATGTAGAGTATCAGTATAATTCACCAGTATAGGTAAAAAACAGAATCCCCTAGAAAAAGAAAATACAGATGAGCAATTTAGGAAAATTCAAGCTTAACAGAGTTCTTCAATATATATATTTCAGTCCTACGTGTACACACTTCAAAGTATAAGGTTTTTTCCCTGAGCAGAAAATTGTGTGTGTTTTCTTCTGTATGGCTGTGCATTTTCAAATGTATACATTTATTGAATGCATTTCTGTTGTACAAATCTTTTTGTAAGCTCAGAAATGTACAGACTTCAGGACACATGTTGCATTTGAGCCTGTGTTCAGTGCTAGGAGATATGAAGTGAAACCATCCTACTCATAACAGATTGAAACAAATTTCTCATCCATTCTTACAGATACCCAAAGAGAACCAGCAATAGGATGAATCTGAAACATAATGGGATTTTTCTGTGTAGGAGCTGGTAGACCTAACATAAATACCCAGCTATAACCTTCAACTTCGTTATTGGATTAAGTTCAGACATGAATCACTGAGCATTTGAATGATTTGTAAATGCCTGGACCTGCAGAGGGGGAGAAAGAACACTTGGTGCAATCACTTGAACATCTGTACTTAAACAAACTGAAGGGCTAGGAGGGTTCCCCCCTTACAGTCAAATTTAACATAAATTCAAATAATCCTTTGTTTATTTTCTCTTGCTGGCAGAAATCATGAGTTAGTGGCTGCACAAAATTGGTCCATTTCCCTGAGACTTCCAGACCTTACTGAAATAAACATAGGTTATGCAACAGTAATGCCTGCTGAATATATGCATGGCCATTTACAACTTGGAGTTTTTTATGTCAACCTAGATTTCACTGCATTTGCCTCCATACTTCTAAAAAGAGTAGTGCAGTATTTTGAAATACATTTGGTGTTTAAATGAGTTCTTTCACTTTGTTCATAGTGAGTACATTTTTTCTAAAAAAATATATTAAGCATCTCATTAAATACAAATACTTGCTCTATGTTTTCTTTCACTTCTCTTGCTAATTGAAAATACATACCTCGTACAACTACAATACTTGTATGTCATGGCCAAGCTTTGTGGGCGGCGAGAAGTATTGGTGAGTTACATGATGACCTGCAGTTTTTCAGAACTTGCAACAAGCCATTTCTTTTTGCAAGAATTTAAATTACCAAATGGTAAAAATAATTTGTTGTATGCCGTGCAATGGGTTTTTGCAACTTAGAGCCTTCTTAATCTTGTATATTGTCAAAACTCAGGAATATAGGTGCTCCAATGGAGTCACTTATAGTTACATACCCTGTAACCCTTTTGAAGATGTTTGCAATGTCTGAAGCAAGATTACCTTTTGTGAGAGCTGATTTCTTGCAGCAGGATTGTTTTCCATGTTAAAGAATGTTAGCTTTGAAGAAGGTATACTGACTTGACTGTAATTAGCTGGGTCTGATCGGAAACTTACAAAATGATTTGTTGCAGTACACTCTTGCCAGTCTTCAGTACATAGCAGTTCAGAGACACAGGT